CAGGCCAGAGTGGGACATTCCACGGGTTTATAAGCATTGTCCTAAGTTGCTACACAGGCTCTGGAAGATTATTTGAATCATGGAGAAGAGGCAGGGCAGCAAAGCAATGATCAATTTTCAGAACGCGTGTAGATTCCAAATGAGAAAGTTAAGAAAACGACTATCCTGTTCAAAGTAATGTCTTTGCGCAGTGTGAATATGTTTTTCAGTGTGGTGGCAAATTGTCTGATAGATTTTTTTCCCCTCAAGAATGAATACGTCACTATACCTCTTTGCAAAAGGTATTTTGTGTGCCTGGTTGCCTTGGACACACAGGTTCAAAAACGGATCTCTAGAACATATTACAGGGTACATTTATAAACATGTTGAAAATTCTTGTTCTTTAGACTTTAAACTTGAGTCTAAATGTAATGATGGTAAATATAATGTACATGCAGAACATTTGAGGTTTGAGCCTTGTTTTTTAATGGGGTATTTCCTTTATGGGAGCGATTTGCTCTATTAAAAAAAATCACGTTTTTACAGAAGAATGCTTCCATAGAGGACTTTTCTCCTTCTAGAGATAATCAACCTGAAAGTAAGCTGAATCTCCAAAAATCTTTTGTAAATGGCTTCCTTTTGGCCCAATCTGGTGGTGATTGATTATCTTTTTTCTTAGGTGATGTACATGTTCATTACTTTTACATCTGGCACGTTTCTTCTTATTCTGATCTCTTTCTCTCTGGTTGAATATTTTCATTAAAATAAAAATTAAAGTGTTACTCACAACTTTGATAGTACTAATGAACTCTTCTGGTGCTTCATCTTTTGACCAGTAGAGCACATTATGTAGGCCGCTGCTCATGTAACATTGTAGTCGAATTTTAAGCGATTTAGGTTTTGTCATACATTGCTAATATTATTTAATATATTATCACCTGACTTTTTTCCTCTCTCCCTGCTCATACATCTACAAAACCTGTGCACTACATCTCAAGTTTTCTGAAGCCATACTATAGCTTTGTGTGAGCAACAGACTGAAATTAGATGGAACGTAGAAGATTATGTAAGTTGTATCGTTTTTGTAGCAAAAGATTTTCCAGAAATTCAGTTAAAGGCTTTGTCTGTGCACAGAAGGCATGTTCATGCTGATCCAGGAAGTACTGGTGTGAAGTGATGAAAAGGGGAAGTTACAATAGATCTGATGCCAGTCAGTAGATTATGCTTCAGATTCGGTTTCTGCAGCAGAGCTTCAGTCCGTCTCTAATCAGCAGCAGGTGTTACAGCTGTAAACTTGGGATCTAAACAGGAGATTCCCACACTTTTTATCCCTCAGGAAGGTCAGATTCTTTTTGCTGTTTTACTTCCATTACATTAAACCAAAATTAGTAGACTTATTGAACATTAACAGATGCTTTCATATGTAACATATCTAACATATTTGTTTTTTGATAAAGGATATATTATCTTTTATCCAGTTAATGATCATCATTATTGCAATTACATTATTAAAAAAATTAATAATCATTCATTTCTAATTATGCTTAATTTTAAAGGGATAAAGCAAAATTACCACATATTGTTATTGTTATTGATATTAAATATGCAATTCCAAATTTATTGCTGAAAAAAGTCATGCAGAGAATATTTTATGTTTTAAGTGGTTAAACAAATGGATTAAGTATAGCTTACTGACATATTAAAGTGAACATAATTATTCAAATTTATGGGTAATGGACCAATTATCAATGGTCTAAAATAAGTACACAATGTAGTACATGTGTGAACATTTAATTTGTTCACACATGTACTACATGCTAAGTATTATTTTCAGAAAGTATTTTAATTTATGGGAGGAAAATAAACAAAAAGGCAATGTTTTCAGTCAACCATTAATGCTGATGTAAAATATGAAATGTTACTTCCTCCTTCCTGAGGTATCATCTTTGGCACATATTTGTGCAAAAACTTTTGCATCTTTTTCCTTGAAAGCAAAGGTGAGTATTATGTTGCCAGTGCTCTCAAACGCAAATAAATGTCTCTTAATCATAAAAAGTGAGAGGAAGGGGGTGGCCCAGTTTAGCAGGTGTTACAGGTTCCTGTTCTTTCTTCCTTTTTTTTTGCTCAATTTGCTTTTCACCTGTAGGTTGATGCTCCTCAGTGAATGAAGGGATGGACATCTGGACAGCAGAGAAAATAATTCTTCTTGGTTTTCTGTTGAAAGGTTTGAGCATTTTTCCATTCATAAACTAAATTTAAGAACAACATTTCCAGACCTCTTTTCTTGATATTTATAATAATTTCAAAATTATTTCTTACATGTTTGTATTGTGTTGTAGGTGTTTGTTGTAGAGATTTCAGCATCAGTCTGCCACAGAACTTTCAAGCTCTCAGTGGATCCTGTGTGATCATAAAGTGCAGATTTGAGATTGAGGAAAAACATGACATAAACCTTGTTCCTGAGAGTGCTGCTACAGGACTGTGGCTCAAAGATGGAGATAAGACGAATGAACATCTAGTGTTTCACTCCACAGATCACAAATCTAATCACTTTAATGGGAAAATAACTGGAAACCTACTTGAGAAGAACTGCACCACTGTCTTCTATAATGTTAGTTCAAAGCACACTGGTAGATATTACTTCAGGATTGAAAGTGGTGGTTTGAAATACGTCTACACTGTAAATACCTCCACTATAAATGTGATTGGTGAGTGATTTGAGCATTTTATTTATAAACAAATGTGTTAAATGAATGTTTTAAAAGTTGCCGTCATTGTCATTTTACTTTTTCAGACTCTCCCCCCAAACCCACAGTGCAGCTGTACGTGGAGCAGAAGGAGGTGCAGGATCAGGAGGAGGTGTTGGAGGGGAGCTCTGTGAGTCTGCGCTGCTCTGCTGAGACTCTCTGCTCCTCTCCTCCACCAACTCTCACATGGAGCTCCACTCCCAGAATCCCCCTCAGTGAGAGCAGCAGACTAGAGGAGCTCATCTCTGATCTGAACTTCACTGCTACTCACCGTCAGCACAGAGTCACTTTCACCTGCACTATAACCTACCAGCTACAGGACGAGAACAAAACAGCACAGGACAACATCACATTACATGTTCAGTGTAAGTGAGGCTTTGAGATGCTTTTCAGTTTTCATATTATTGTGATTTTTATTGATATCAATCATATTATTGTGATTTTTATTGTGAGACCCTTTTTTTCCCTTCAGATTCGCCTAAAAACACATCAGTGTCTGTGCTTCCCTCCAGCTCTGTGTTGGAGGGCCGTTCAGTGACTCTGACCTGCAGCAGTGATGCGAATCCAGCAGTGCTGAACTACACCTGGTCCAGAGAGGGTGAAGGACAGATGGAGCAGCTGCAGACTGGACACACTCTTACCTTCGATAGGATCGACCTGAAACACAGAGGCTGGTACCACTGTACAGCTCAGAACCAACATGGCACACAAAACTCTTCAGTGATGCTGGACATTCAGTGTGAGTACCTCTTGCTCTATATCTCTGCTCATGATATTTGTTTCACAAAATGTATATATATATATATATATATATACATACAGTGGCATGCGAAAGTTTGGGAACCCCTTGCAGAATCTGTGAAATTGTGAATAATTTGAGCAAAATTATAATTTTAATTGTGTGATTTTGAGATCCATAATTTTCACACTGAGGACAATTGAGGGACTTTTTTAATAGTTGTGTTTGAGTCCCTAAACTGTCCTCAGTGTGAAAAGATGGATCTCAATATCAGTCACTGCTGGAAAGGGTTCAAATATGCAAAAGATTCTGGAAAACTGAAGAATCTGCAGGACCTGGAGGATTTTTCTGAAGAACAGTGCTCAGTTTAACTGTTCAGAACAAACAAGGGACTCATGAACAACCATCACAAATCAAAAATACAGTCGTGGACCATCCAGGTAACCACACACAGTATTAAGAACGAAGGGTTCATCTTTTATGTAAAATATCTTATTCAAAAATAACATGTATTTTGTATGATCTCTCTTATTTTGTTAAAATTATTCACATTTTCAAAGATTCTGCAAGGGGTTCCCAAACTTTCACATGCCACTGTAGGCCTACTTATGATCTCTGTTTTAGTACTGGCTCTGTCTTCCTCACACTGGTTAGAAAACTGTGATCTTAACTGTGACAAAAAAACAAATTTTTTCACAGTTACCATCACGCTTTTCTAACCAGTGTGAGTTCTATATATATACAGAAACGTTTGAACCCTATATATATACACAGTGGCCCCAAAATATTTGAACAGTTCTGGACGCTTCAGCCACACATAATGTCTAAATATTATCATGCAAATGCATTAAATGAAGCTTGCATCCCAATACTTTTTCATAAATTTCATACAGCTATTCCTTCCTCTATCAATCTTTTATCTTTTCTTCTCAGATGCCCCTTAAAACATTTCAATTTCAGGGATTACCTCCAGCTCTGTGTTGCACACAGTTTGGATTGTCATGAGAGTTAGTAACTGGTGAAACTGTCTCTTTATATGAATAATAGGGTGAAAATATATACACAGTGGCCCCAAAACATATTTGAACATGTTTGGACACTTCAGCCACACAACATGTCTGTGTATTATCACATTAAATAACAAAAATATCAAACCAAATAGCATCTACCTTAAAATAAATGCCACTTGTTTTGATATTTTGTTACCTAATGCAAATGCAAATGCAGTATGTAACTGACAGAAATATTTGCTACTCAACCTTCCCAGTAAGCCAGTTAGTTTTGCAATATCAATATTTTATCTTTGCCTCTTAGATGCTCCTAAAAATACATCAGCTTCAGTGAATACCTCCAGCTCTGTGTTGGAGGGCCGTTCAGTGACTCTGACCTGCAGCAGTGATGCAAATCCAGCAGTGAACTACACCTGGTCCAGAGAGAGTGAAGGACAGATGGAGCAGCTGCAGACTGGAGACACTCTTACCTTCGATAGGATCGACCTGAAACACAGAGGCTGGTACCACTGTACAGCTCAGAACCAACATGGCACACAAAACTCTTCAGTGATGCTGGACATTCAGTGTGAGCATTACATAACAGCCAATCTTACCTTGTCACATTCATTACAATGTAAAGTAAATTATAAAATGAACAGTTGTGACACTGTTATTGTGTTATGACGCAAAAATAGCTACTTATCTTAATTAAATTTGAGCCCAAAAAGTATTTCAAAATTATTTCTTACATGTTTGTATTGTGTTGTAGGTGTTTGTTGTAGAGATTTCAGCATCAGTCTGCCACAGAACTTTCAAGCTCTCAGTGGATCCTGTGTGATCATAAAGTGCAGATTTGAGATTGAGGAAAAACATGACATAAACCTTGTTCCTGAGAGTGCTGCTACAGGACTGTGGCTCAAAGATGGAGATAAGACGAATGAACATCTAGTGTTTCACTCCACAGATCACAAATCTAATCACTTTAATGGGAAAATAACTGGAAACCTACTTGAGAAGAACTGCACCACTGTCTTCTATAATGTTAGTTCAAAGCACACTGGTAGATATTACTTCAGGATTGAAAGTGGTGGTTTGAAATACGTCTACACTGTAAATACCTCCACTATAAATGTGATTGGTGAGTGATTTGAGCATTTTATTTATAAACAAATGTGTTAAATGAATGTTTTAAAAGTTGCCGTCATTGTCATTTTACTTTTTCAGACTCTCCCCCCAAACCCACAGTGCAGCTGTATGTGGAGCAGAAGCAGGTGCAGGATCAGGAGGAGGGGTTGGAGGGGAGCTCTGTGAGTCTGCGCTGCTCTGCTGAGACTCTCTGCTCCTCTCCTCCACCAACTCTCACATGGAGCTCCACTCCCAGAATCCCCCTCAGTGAGAGCAGCAGACTAGAGGAGCTCATCTCTGATCTGAACTTCACTGCTACTCACCGTCAGCACAGAGTCACTTTCACCTGCACTATAACCTACCAGCTACAGGACGAGAACAAAACAGCACAGGACAACATCACATTACATGTTCAGTGTAAGTGAGGCTTTTTTCAGTTTTTCAGTTTTCATATTATTGTGATTTTTATTGATATCAATCATATTATTGTGATTTTTATTGTGAGACCCTTTTCAGATTCGCAGATTCGCCTAAAAACACATCAGTGTCTGTGCTTCCCTCCAGCTCTGTGTTGGAGGGCCGTTCAGTGACTCTGACCTGCAGCAGTGATGCAAATCCAGCAGTGCTGAACTACACCTGGTCCAGAGAGAGTGAAGGACAGATGGAGCAGCTGCAGACTGGACACACTCTTACCTTCGATAGGATCGACCTGAAACACAGAGGCTGGTACCACTGTACAGCTCAGAACCAACATGGCACACAAAACTCTTCAGTGATGCTGGACATTCAGTGTGAGTATTACATAACAGCCAATCTTACCTTGTCACATTCATTACAATGTAAAGTAAATTATAAAATGAACAGTTGTGACACTGTTATTGTGTTATGACGCAAAAATAGCTACTTATCTTAATTAAATTTGAGCCCAAAAAGTAATTTAAAAGCCTCTAAATTATTCCGTTAACCTTACCACATTACTGTTAATTTCAGTTTAATTTGAATGCTAGGACACATTTAGAGCGTTAAGTTCACAATCTCATAATTCATTCTCATTAGTGCTTCAATCATTGGTTGTTGAGTTCCAGACATTGTAGCTTCAGATCCTCAGACCTAGTACATCTGGACTCTAGACAGGAAAGCAGTCTCTGTGTGCATTTGCAAAACACATGACTGAAATGACTGCTGATGCATCAGCACAATCGCTCGGTTCAACATTATTCACACATTTGATTGTGACAATTTTATGTATATAATATTGTAAAGTAAATTATAAAATGAACAGTTGTGACACTGTTATTGTGTTGTAATGCAATAATAGCTACTAGCTATAAAAATGTTGATCTTTATTACGTTTAAGGCCAAATAATAATTAAAAAGCCTTTAATTTGTCCAGTTAAACTTACCACATTGCTGTTTTTACGTTTTATTTAAATGCAGGGACATTGATTTTTTCAGTATATATTGTAGCTTCAGACTTTCAGACCAGTCTGGATTCTAGTCAGTAAGACTAGATTGTTTTGCATATGCACTCTTCTGACTGTTGATTAAATATTTTTCAAAATAACTTATTTTGTGTCCCGCAGCAGAATCATTGTAGTTATTCAGTTTTTTTTTTTGTTTTGTTGTTTTAATACTTTCAGATGCCCCTAAAATCTCTCCATCCTCCAGCTGTGCCAGGACTGATGTAACTGTGTGTTTCTGTGAGGCTGATGGGAATCCCTCTCCTGAACTGGAGTGGCATCTGTCTGGACGTCCTGTCACTAACTCTTCAAACACGTTCATCAGTGAAGAGCGATTGAGCAGCACAGGCTTGAGGAGCTCCATCACTCTTCATCAGTCTCTCACACACACATCCACTCTGCAGTGTGCCAGCAACAACACTCATGGCACTGCAAGTCAACGGATTTATGTCACTCCTCAGGTGTCAAGTACGTTTTACAGACATTGATTTTTAAGGTTTAATGTTTAATGTATTTACAGATGCATCATCTTAAATACCGTTATTTATACATTTGAACAGTTCTGTTGGTGTTGTTCATTTCCAGTTGTTACATTAGAGAAAGGGCAAAGGATAAATGCCTCACACATCACACACTTTTATGTAAATGTTTGTATGAAAAGCTGTAAAAGAGCATTCTTTTTTGCTTAACGACGTGCTTTTGCTTACAAGACAAACCCGTTTTGTTACTAAACACAATTCAAGCTTGCTGCTCAGATCATTCTTCTAGAGAGGAGGGAGTGGAATCAATAGCTTTATTAGAATTAGATGCTTTTTATTTCATATAACTGAAAATATCTTTTAGTTGCTCTCCAAAAACATGTTTTTTTTTAATTATTATTATCAGGTTTCCACCATTTCTTTTTTTTGGTTGGAGTTGCTGTTGGGGCTTCTCTGATGATGATCATATGTGGAATTTTACTTATCTGTGCAAGGTATGTTCACATTGCCGAAGGTCACTACAAGTCAACAACGCAATTAAGCAATTTAACTACTCAGGGGCCTACCGATGTTAATTAAAAAAGTTTTGAATTATTTTAACAGAAATAGACCAAGTTCTATATTAAAACAAGGGTTCTCTTTGGTCAAAAAAAGTTCCCAAACCCTCACTTAAAAAATAAGCAAATAATGTCAACTCTAAAAATTCTTTGCCCCAGTCATTTACCCTGTTTGTCAAAATTCAAATCCATACATGGCTGATGTTAATGTCAATATTTTTTGATCATGGACACATGGAAATATATTTTTCAGAAGAGAAAGCAACACAAGACGAGACGGTGGCACTGGACTGATTCTGACTGACAGGGTGAGTTCCCTCAAAGTACACTGTTCATTTAAAAAATGCTGCAACTTCTGTTAAATAAATGTTTTACAAGCAGAAAACACCACAGCTCTCCACTGCTGATTTGTTCATCTGTTCAACAGGAGGATGAGAGTAGCCCTGTTTATGCCAATAATGCCATGCTGTCTCCTACTGGAGCTGAGAAAGAACTCCATTATGCCTCCATTGACTTCACAAACATCCAACCAGAGTCAGAAGAGATCAGAGGCGTCTCCTCGCTGACAACTGACTACGCTGTGGTCCGATGTTATCCTGGTGGACTATCAGAGGCAGAGAGCTCAATAGGAGGTGATCAGCTCAACAGCGGCATCTCAGCTGTAATGAAGTCTGAGAAAAATCAAACCATACTAGAGCAGGGGAGAAAGATGGGAGCAGTGTTCTCCCAGCCATCAGAAGACACAACATATGAAAATATCACCATCTGAGCTAGAATTGCGCACACAATCAGTGTTTTGTCATGTAATTACAATGAATATTAGCTAAAAAATAGAAGCTAAAAGAACCAAAAAAGTAAAAACACCATATAACTTCTGAGTTATGTATTTAGTCATACGATAGCATTTTTCTGTGGACAAAAGACAATTTAGCCATTTAAGGAATATTTCAAGTTCCTCTCTTGTTTTCTTAAAAAAAAAGAAGAAAAAAAAGGAGGTTACAGTGAGGCATTGTGACACACATTGGAGTGAAACGGTGGGATTTTGTCCACCAGGAACCAATTAAATCATTGTCCTTTGTTAATCTCATGCGAGTGACAGGTCGCTGGAGAGGAAGGAGTATTGCCCTGCCCTTACATTGCATTGTCATTGCAACAAAGTTGTATAATTGGATAAAATCTTACAACATACTAAAATCATGCAAAAATGCATATTCTTTACATTTTGTGGCTATACTCTTGAAACAGTGAGTATTTTAATGTTTACGAACTGGCCCCATTTACTTCGAGAGTATGTGCCACACTGTAACCCATGCTTTTATTATTGTTATTTTTAAAGAAGATTTTGCTTTAAATAATTTATTTTTAATAATATTTACATGGCATTTAATCCATATCTGATTAGACTGTATCAGCTTCAGATCAGGGTGTAATGTTATATATACAGTGGGTACGGAAAGTATTCAGAACCCCTTAAATTT